TGCGAAAAGAAGGGGAATTATGCTTGAGTCTGCCGATATTGAAAAGGCGAAACCAAGTCTACAAACATGGTAGAAGACAATCTAGTGGCCATGATTACTAAAGTCAACATGGCAGAATCGTCTTCTGGATGGTGGTTTGATTCAGGCGCCACAGTCCATGTTTGCAAGGACAAGTCTTTGTTCAAGACGTATGAAGAAATAACTGATGGCCATAAGGCATAGATGGGAAACCAAACATGTGCCAAAGTTGTTGGAAGAGGCAGCGTAGAGTTGAACTTCACCACCGTAAAGACACTGACTCTCCTGAATGTTCTCTATGTTCTTGACATTAGAAAGAACTTGGTCTCAGTAAATATTGTTTGTAAGAGGAGATTCAAAGTTGTCTTTGAATCCGACAAACTAATCCTATCTAAGAATGAGATGTTTGTTGGAAATGGATATGGTTGTAATGGTATGTTCAAATTAAATATTAATGAAGAAAAAGTTTCTGCTTATATTGTTGATTCTTTCTCTTTATGGCATGATAGATTAGCACACTTGAATTTTAAATCCATAAGGAACATGAGCAAACTTGGTATAATTGCTTATGATAATGAATCAACTAAAAAATGTGAGATATGTGTAAAATCTAAAATGGCTAAGAAACATTTCCCTAGTGTTGAGAGAAATTCTCAACTTCTATAACTAATTCATTATGACATATGTGAACTCAATGGTGTATTAACTAGAGGAGGTAAGAGATACTTCATAACATTTATAGATGATTTTTCTAGGTACACCTATGTCTACCTTATGAGAACTAAGGATGATGCATTTGACATGTCTAAACTATATAAGACTAATGTTGAAAATCAATTAGAAAATAAAATTAAAATCCTTATAAAGGATAGGGGTGTTGAATACTTTAAAAATGAGTTTAATTTTTTCTGTGAAGAATTTGGAATAAGACATCAGTGTTCCGCTCCCTATACCCCTTAACAGAATGGTCTGGCTGAAAGGAAAAAATAAAACACTTACAGAAATGATAAATTGCATGTTGTTAAAAGCTAATGCACCCTTAAACCTGTGGGGGAAAGCATTCCTAACAGCCTGCCATTTACATAACAGTTCTAGAGTTAATAACAAATGCCCATATGAATTATGGACATGAAGAAAAAGCCTAATTTAGCATATCTAAAAGTGTGGGGATGCTTAGCATATTATAGAGTTCCATATCCTAAAAGAACAAAATTATGACTAAGAGCTAAGAGAAATATGTTTGTTGAATATGCAGAACATAGCAAGGCCTATAGGCTTCTAGACTTAGAATCCAACATAATAATTGAAACTAGAGATGTTGAATTATTTGAAAATAAATTATGTTATGAATCTATAAAAAATGAATCCACAAAAAATGATAGAGAACCTGAAAGAGAAACTCATATCTCAATACCTGTTGATAATAATGAGACTGAAAAAAGAAATGACACAACTGTAACACATACAATAGGACCTAGAAGAGGTAAAAGACAAAGAACAGAGAAACACTTAAGTTCAGATTTTATCTCTACTTAGTCAATTGTATTTTTGGTTGAGGCTGATAGAGAGAAGATTTTAAATAAGATACCTATTGTCCTAAATATTGAAAATGATCCAAAAACCTACAGTGAGGCTATGACCTCTAGAGATGATGCCTATGAAACTATAAATGATGAAATGTATTCAATAATGTCAAATAACACATGGGTACTAGTAGGCCTGCATCTAGAATCAAAACCAATAAAATGTAAATGGATGTTTAGAAGAATATACAACACTAATATAACTATATAAACTTTTAAGGCTAGATTGGTAGCCAAAGGATTTAGTCAAAAGGAAGTGATTGATTACTTTGACACCTATGCACCAGTGGCTAAAACAACTTCTATTAGAACACTCATAGCATTAACATCCATTTATCACTTATCTATTCACTAAATGAATGTTAAAACTGTTTTCTTAAATGGTGATTTAAATGAAGATGTTTAAATGGAACAACCAGAAGGATTTGTTCTTCTTGGAAATGAAAAGAAAGTCTATAAACCGGTTAAATCACTATTTGGATTAAAACAAACACCTAAACAGTGGCATGAGAAATTTGATTCTTGCATTCTACCTTTTGGTTTTAAACATAATAGTGCTGATAAATGCATCTACTCGAAATTCACTGAAAATTATGAAGTAATTGTATGTCTTTATGTTGATGATATACTTATTGTGTGTACAAATATGGTTGGCATAAATGAAACTAAAGACTACTTATCATTTGTCTTCAAGATGAAAGATTTATGAGAAATAGATATCATCTTAGGAATAAAAGTTAAAAAGCATAGTAGGGGCTATGCATTAAACCAATCACATTATATTGATAAAGTACTTGAGAAATTTAAGCATTTAGGGTTTAAAGAATATAGAACGTCATATAATTCTAGTATAAAGCTAGTAGAAAATACTGGTAGAACAATTGCACAACTTGAATATGCTAATGCAATAAGAAGCTTAATGTATGTTATGCTTTTTACCAGACCTGATATAACATTTGCAGTACGTAAACTCAGTCGGTTTACAAGTAATCCCGGTGCAGAGCACTAAAAGCAATTGGGAGAGTTCTTGGGTATCTCAAGAGAATTTTGGAATTTGGCTTGTTTTATTGTGATTATCCAGCTGTACTATAAGGGTACACTGATGCAAATTAGATTACCGATAATAGAGATAACAAGTCCACCTCTTAATGGATTTTTATCCTTGGTGGGGGTGCGATCTCTTGGGCATCCAAAAGACAAACTTGTATATCTCACTTGACCATGGAATCCGAATTCATAGCCTTAGTGGCTGCTGGAAAAGATGTTGAATGGATTAGGAATTTATTATTGGATATAAACTTTAGCCTAGTCCTATGCCTCCAATTTCCATTTATTGTGATAGTGAGACAACTCTGTCAAGAACCTACAGTGGTACCTACAATGGTAAGTCCAGACATATAAGCCTGAGACATGAATTTGTTAAGCAACTTATTCAAGATGGAATCATCACTATAACCTATGTAAAGTCAAGTAAAAACTTGGTTGATCCTCTTACCAAGGGCTTGGTCAGAGAATTGGTAATAATGACAACCAAAGAGATGGGATTAAAACCCTTTACTTAGTCACCTGTAATGGTAACCCAACCTAAATTGAAAAACCATCAGTATTGTGTTTAATAGGTAACAACAAGTTACAGCAATGTGATTGTTAGCACTGACATTGAGAAATTTCCCATCACAACGTAAACAGTGTTGTCCGTTATGATGAGAAGTTGAGTTAAACTCTTAATGAAGTTCTGAAATGTGTCAAATAACAGAACACATAGTGAAACTTCATCTATGTGAATATAGAAGTGGTGTAACTTCTCATGAGAGTTTGAGTTTACTCTCGAGATTGTTCATGAAACCAAGAAATAAGCACATGGCCATAACAATGCTGAGCAAAACTTGAAACTCTTGCAGAGACTTGACATTTTTGTGTGTATAGGTGTCTCCGGTCTGTTTTGAGAGTAATTGATTTAAGGTCTTACCACCAATAACTTTGACAAAGCTCTGAGATATCTATACTAACAAAAGGTTTAAGTTGATAAACACCTTTTGTATGCATAATTGTATCATAGTAGTTTTGATTGAGAGAGAACTATGTAATCGATCAATCAATGTGGGGGATTATTGGATTTTAATATCATAAAAGATTAAATCCAATGGGTTTGATTGGTCAATTACATAAGAAATTGCACATGCACACTTGATTAAAAAAAAAATAGCTTTTCTCTTACAAAACCCAATTTTGAACTTGTCCCACGTTGGAAAATTATAAGCTTTGTTTTCAGTATTTTAATAGGAGTTGATTTATACTCCTTATAAATAGTAAATGAGAGTATGGGGGTTTGATATCGTGCAATGTGTGTGCACGCATGTGCGCGCGTGTATGCAGCGCAATGAGGCGCTTTAGAGGCGCACTTCGCTGTTCGTTGATCACCGTTGACGAGATCAACGGTCATGATTCGATCGGGTGTGATCAAGAGGCACAATTCAAAGTTAACAGTCATTAATTGTTAACTGCTTTTTAAATAGTCACAATGTTTGAAATTGTGACTATCCAATGTGAATCAGACTTAAAAAACACACATTTTTTAAATCCACTTTCTCTCTCTCTCTTTCTCTCCAGTTTGCTACAGTCTCATAGAAGGTTTTTTCGGAGATTCTTCAACTTTGCTAGTTGTAGATTCTCGCCCAAGGCTCTATTGTATTCTGTGAACGGATTTGCCTGTAACCCAACAGCAAACTCAGTGAAACTGAGTGGGGGCAAATAATGTTCTAAAGACAGTATCTTCAGGCGCATTTCAGAGCTTTTCCTCCAAAATCACAGTGACCCTGTTTCCCAACATCGCTTGATGGGGTTGGGCTCTTTGGTCAGAACCAACCTCTGGCTCAATAATTGGTTGAGGTTGCGATTCTGAGTCATCCCCAAGATTCATTGACTGGCTGGGCGCTTGCAATAGCAACATTTCCAAATTGTAAACCTGTTAGACAGTCCCATACATAAAATGAAGTAGTTAGAAAGAGGAAAGAGAATACCGACACTTGTTTAACATGAGCCCGTGAAGAGATATAGAATATTAACACTTGTTTCTATATATATATATATATATATATATTAAAATTATTTTAAACAAATTTATACGTGTAATAAAAGATTCTATTTATTCAAATAATAGAGTGCCACGAATACACCAATCGTATTAATATATATAAAAGATAATGAAGACCCAAATCTTAATATAAATGGGTTGGCTCAGTTCGGTTCGGGTTACATAAACAGTCATTTTAGAAAAAAAAAAAAACTTTTTTGATCCAAGTATTTTTTTTTTTTTTACTCGACCCATGACGCGCACGCCGGTATTGTTATGCCCAAAATGCTTAATTTATTAGAATTCCAATTTTACCTTTCATCAAAAAGTATCCTTGGATTAAGCTTTTAGAGTTTTAGTGGTTAACCTAAAGCCCCCAACCAGAACAAACGTAGAACGCTCCATGCACAAAGCTCTAAAACCCTGTGATGGAGAAAGAAGCAGCAGCTACTTCAAACCCTAAGGAGGCTCCTACCTGCCAAGAGTGTGGCCGCAATCCATCAAAATACAGATGCCCGGGTTGCCATCTTCGCTCTTGCAGCCTTCCTTGCGTCAAAGCTCACAAGAAGCGTACTAGCTGTACGGGCAAGAGGGACCGAACCCAATTCGTCCCTCTCTCAAAGTTCGACGATAATCTCCTCATATCTGGTGCTTATTTGTTCCTCAATTGCTTTTTCCTTGTTCATTCAGTACCCTTTTCGGTTTTATCTCTGATTTTACTTTTATTTACTTATTTATATTTTTTTGTGTAGATTATAATCTTCTTGAGGAAGCAAAAAGAGTAGCCGAAGCTTCTCAGAGACGGCGAAATGGGTGGTCAGTCGGGTATCCTTCTTTCAGACTACCCCATAGGCTTTACCTTCTTCGGAATGCGGCAAGTAAGCGTCGTACGCGGCTTCTTTTTCTCCCAAGTGGAATGACAAGGAGGGAGAAGAACCAATCACGATATGACCAAAGGTTAGTTTCTAATGTGCTTCTCAATTTGCTTGTCTATTTGCTTATTCTTGCTTTGGCAATAGTTTTCCCTTTAATATGTTATGTTTCTTGCTATCAGTCTTTAGGTTTAATGTGTACAATTTAATGTTGTTATTTTAGAAATTTAGGAGATACAAGTACCTGGTGCTTCTGGTTTTAGTTTTTGGTTTGGCGGGTTTTAGATGAGGGTTTTTATCACGTTATGTGGCTTCTTGGTCCCTGGAAGGAGTACAGTGATAGCTTACAACTCAGTGTTAATCTATCTCTAAAATGGTCTTCAAGCACTTAACAAAGTGAAAAATACACAAATAAAATGAAATATAACAATTGAAATATATTCAAGCATGTCAAACTTTCTATTTCTTTATGTTTTTCCCAATCATATTATTTCAAATAGCTACTTTCATTATTAATTCTGCAAGGTGCTTTTGTATCAAGCTTCTTGGGGCAAGCCCAAACAAGTCCATGTTAGGGTCTTAAATTCTTGATCCGTACAAAAAATGGTTTTATAATTTTAATTATATTTTCTTTTTTAGAAATATCTTGTATTAAGAAAAATTGAATGAACAACAGTAGCAAATATGGGGTTCTTAGAGCTTAGGGTTAGTTTTTTTAATTTATAGATCATTCCCTGGCCTTGGCAAACCCCATTCAAGTTTCTTACCTTCACACCCCCACTTTTTCTAAGGATCATCCAGCCCATTTGGTGACCTAGGCATCCACCTGAATGATTAATTTAGGTGGCTCTAAAGATATTTAGCTTCTCTTAATATGAAGCAGAACATATGTGCAGTTTATTCTGCTGCTGTTTGCCTTGAAATAACCACCTGCCAATCACCTTCTATAATCAAGTTTCTCCAGTTCTACTGGCTATTCAGAACTGAAGTTTCAGATAATCAATTTCAGTTCTGAATAAGACCCAAAGCACAATATATTGGGCTCTGCATTCTGTTCCTGATACAGTAGAAGATGCAAAAAATGCATCTTGACATTCCTCAAAATCTGATAATGCTCAGTGCCTCAGTTCAATCCCAAGTCTTAATCCATCAATAAGTTCAATATGTATGGGTAAAACTAATAAAAAAGTTTAATAGAATGGATGCAATCTAGAAACTTGGGAGTATGGTTGCTTAGACAGCCTCTAGGAGAGATTATTAGCTTAGCAAGGGAGAATAGGGTGCAATTTAAATGGGTAAGAAGGTCTGCAAATGGAACGGCTGACGCTTTAGCTAAGCAAGGACTTATCAGGGAGGCTTTTTTTGGGGCTTGTTTATAAGGTTTTTTGTTCTGGTTTTCCATTCTTCTCGTGGGTGGTGATAACTGTAATTTTTATTTTTTATTTAAAATCATCATTGAAAGTTAACATTTCCTATCAAAAAACTAATAAAAAGTCATTACCTATTGCCAATACCATCTATCCAGGGTGTTAAGAGGAGTGGAGTGGATATGAACCTACCCTTTAGTAATTTAGCATGAAGTGGCCACTCCCAAGACTCAAACCTGTGTTTTCACACCATTCAGCTTAGGATTTTTACCTTCGCACCAAACAATGGCTCCTAAGGGTGAAACTACAAATAGGTATGAAAATCTAAGCCGTTCATGGCATGTAACCTGTAAGACACATGTTTAGTTTTGACTTCTTTTAATTTTCACAAGTTTCTTTTAGGTGAAGGTCATTCTATTTATTATTTAAGAATAAAATGTGTCTGTACTATGCAAGCATTCTAGGCCTGTAGAGTCCAGATTTCCATGTTCCTCTACTGTATTTACTTGAATGTGATAATGGTATTTGTTGAACTAGTGTATCTGTCTCTTGGTATGCATGTTATGTGAAAATTTGTGTAAGATGCGACCTAATTCTTTATCTGAAGTTAAGTTTATTGCATGTCCCAATTACCCCCATTGATAAAACAGTTTTTTGGTGATATGGGTACTGATACTCCACATTCATTTGTAGCATTTGTTAAGGGAATTTAATTTCTTTTGGTGATAGTTGCAATTGTGTAGGACTCTTGCAACTTTGTTTTAAATGTACCACAGATAATTGCTTCTTGTGTTTTATTTTTCAGGAAGGAATCTATTTCCTGGACAATTGAATGGCGGTTTCATTCGACAAATGTTGTTCTTCTTGACCACAGGTAAGATTGTCAAATTAGTCCTAATTCTATGTATTTATTTGTCTTTTGTGCTTAACATGCTACTGTGTGGCGGTAGCATCTCAGGTGCAAAAATACACAATTGATCTTTTCCCTCTTTTTTCTTTTTTCTTTTTTCTTTTTTGATCTCATTTCAGAGTAGATGAGAACACAAACCTCTGCTCCATAATTGAGAAGCATCTGGTATCTGGTCCATTGAATCATCAACTGAAACCATTTTGCAAGGAGCCTTTGGAACACCTTAAGCTCTTCATTCAGATAAATCCAAAGGTACCATTATGTTTTAGGAATAAGAAGCTTTTCTATTGACCGCCGGTTCATTCATCAATGCATTACCACTATACATGGCATATGTTTAGGAATTTTGATATACTATTCAGTGGGCTCCGCCTAGAAAATTTCTGGCTGTAAAGTCCCCCTTACCATTTTCTTTTCTTTTATATTTGGCTAGATATTCTATATATCTTTCTTGTTATCCTTCACTATCCTTGTATGGATGTTGATAAAGGAAGTGATTCATTTGTTCATATTTAGGCTGTGGATCAATATACTTATTATTAGTTTTGTGCCTAGGCGGGTATGACATGCTTAAATCTGTTCATGTTTGTGCTATGTATCATTCATTAAAATTCTTAACTGATGGAAGGAGTCAATTCACAGTTGGTGCCATGCTGATGTATGTGCATATTAGTTCTGTGTGTTGTTCATTACTAGGACTCAGCTTCCCCTTTTTGAAGTAGGTTCAACTTGGGGGAGTCAAGGAGTCAGATTGTGGCTCATCCAGTTCCCTCCCCCCCTCTTTTGAATGTCCAGAACACATGTCAGTGAACACTGGCATCATCTGCCAGATGAGTATACTTTATTTATACATTTTAAATATACTAAATCAGAACATCTCCATGTGGAACATAATCTTATCATGTCTTATTTTCTATAGGGTTCTCAGTCACCATTCCGTGAGTTGGACATAAAAGCCCCTATAAGAGAACAGTTGGCTGGCATAACTATTGTGGAGTACCCTGTTATTCATGTTTTTCTACCTTCAGATAGCTATGATTTTGATATTATTAGAGATTCGGAACCATCTCTTCAGAAGGTAGATGTTACGGAGTCTGTTAGCAATGATCAACCAAGCCCAAAAGGTGTTTTGTTCAGGGAAGAGGAAATAGAAGAAGATGGCATGTCCTCTGATACCCAGATTTTCGATCTTCTGAAGTATATAAATCAAGAGCCTATGGAAAATTTTCAGAGTTCTAATGTTGCACAAGTTCAGGAAAGAGGGTCTGATGAAGAAGATAACCAATCTTCTGAAATAAAATTGTCAGGAGTTCCCCAAGAAGGAAATCCCTTATTGGGGAATGAGTTACGAAAGTATACAGCAGAAGGTAAAGATGTTTATTTTGATTCCATTCCAAAAGATTTGCGAGTTGCAGAGAATGTGGATTTTGATTTTAGCCAAGATCTTAGAGATGCTTACTCAGGCCTCATAGAACAAGCCAATCCTGATGGATTTCTTGACCTGGAAGGTCAGTTTGATGAAGAAATGGAATTGGAAGGAATAAGAGATGCCCTTCATAACAGTGGAATGTTTTCCATGGAGGAGGAATTAGAGGAAGGGGAGATACCGGGGTTCTGAAAATTTGGAATTCATTGCCTCAAGGCAACAAGAAACCAGATGCTGAACCAAGCATCTGTTGAGAACCATCACACATGTTCCAACTCCCATGATTGTAATGGCCTCCCATGTCACAAATTTGAGGTCCAAATATAATTACAGTTTCCTGTCAAAGAGTACAGGATGTTAAGAGTTTCAGGTATGAAAAAAAGTGTTGTTATGCTTGGCGTCTCAACTTAACCTGGGACGATATAAATTTTCTGCACACTACCTGGGAAGTTTGGTGCTAAATTATAAGGTTACGGGAGAAAGTCAGAAAACCAAGCCTGGGATGGTATCGGTAATATGTTCTTATTAGTATGCTATACATTTTCATTTTTCCTTCCGGCTCCATTTGTTTGCAGTGCAATTTCATTTCACTAGTACAAATCCATGGGAGTACAACTGTACAAGTGAGAATAGTGCAAATTCTAATGTAATTTTGCTTTGGGTTTTATTTTATTTAGTCTGCATTGAAAACAAACTTCAGCATTTGACAGTGTCAGGTCCAGGACCTTCAAATTTTGACAAATTCTCAACTCGAGCCCGCCCAAGTTACAGACTTGCAGCCCTAGCTTTAAAAAACAGCAACAGAAAATTACAACATTATTGTTCTTTTCTCTCGAGTCTCGACTCTCGACCTAAATGAGCAAACTCTTCTTTTTCATTCGATTCTCTCTCTTCCCTTCCCTCTCGATGAGTAAAATGAGCTTCACTCGATGTTCGATTCGGGAGAAATAATCCAGCCCAATTCGTTTGATGGATCTTTTTGAAGGTCAAAGATTTGTTTAATGAAGGCATGTTATCCAAATTCGAAGAATAACTAAGGACAAAAGAGTCTTTTTCGTCCAATTTAACGAGTCGAATGGAAAGCAAATTTCCAAAATCTCAAGCGTACCGTAAGTAGAGTAGGCTCTAAAATTGTAGTGCTAAGTGATTATATAACTTGGCTAGTTGCTATATTTTGTATTTTCTTTGGCAAAGATATTTTCACTCAAAAACCAACACATGATACAACCAAAGTTAAAAGTATTGGTATTGAGTATTCTATCGGATAATTTGGATATGGATACAGATAGGGATACGAGTATACTTTAGAAATATATGGACGTGGACAAAAGATTTGAATATGCTAGGAAAATATATATAAATTTCATAAATATATTAATAACATCAAATTTAAAATCAAATAATACTTAAGAAATGTACATTTTAATACTATATATGAAAAGTATATTACAGTTAATATGTCAAGATGCATAAATATCATATGATTTTATAGATAATGCATCAATCAAGAGTCTAAGACACATAAAATATACACATATTGTATTTTAATTATTATATCAATTATTTTTTATTTTACTATTTCCTACTTTTTTACATTAACAAAAAAATCAACCAAATGTTAAATTTCCAAATTTAAATTAAAATATCAATTAATAATTTATTAAATATATAATTTCAATTTTTCAATTTAAAATATATCAAATTTGTTAAAATTTCGAAAATATATATAGGAATTAAAAATTAAAAATTATATTATATATGTTGCAATTTTTTAATTATTAATATAATTATTACATTATTAGTATTTTTGTTTCTATATTTTTCTAAAATTAAAAACCATTTTTGGTATAAATTTTAATTGGTAGAGTTTATAGATTCTATTTAATATTCTATTTCCAAATATTTGTAAATATTTAATGTGAAGTAAATTAGAATATTAATTAATAATTGATATATATTAATTTTAAGTACTAAAATATTATTCTATTATTAATATTTTTATTTGCATAAATTTCTTGAGATCAAAATAATTTTTTGATTTTAATGTGAATTTGATAGGTTATTTATTCGGTTATTCTATTAGTTTATAAAATAACAATTTTGAATATTATTCTTTTAATTTTTAGTAGGAATATTTAAACATAAATGTGTTATTTATTTAGATTACATGTAGTATATACATGCAATATTTAATAAAAGTTATTTTATTTCACTAATGAACACAACAATTAAATTAGGTTAGTGGTTTAGGGGTTGATTTGAAACACAAGTGTGAGGCGTGGTGGGAGACATAGGTTCGAATTGCCCCTTTGTCAAATTCAGTTTTTAACAAAAAGGCATGGTTGTGTTGCGTATGGTCTATATCACATTGTATCTGATTGATACGCAAACCTGATACTTGTGGGATACACCTATAATCATATTACAACTTGCAATAAAAAGGAAGGTCTTAAGTAGGGGTGATCCGAATTGGATTGGACTCGGATCACCCTTATCTGATCCGATATATGTTATATATTTATTTATTTAAATATATATAGCATATTATTTTTTTATTTATAAATATGTTATTTATTTTGTATTTTGTAAATTCGTTATATTATTTATTTATTTATAAAACACATGTATATATATATATATGATGGAAATAATTTTGTTTTTCTTTATTTAAATTGGTTCATTTTATTTTTATTTTAATAATTTATTAATTTTTGAAGAAAACAAATTGGATTGGATCAGATTCGAAGGTCTGACTTCCCGATTGGATTCAAATTAGATCCTTACCTATCTTATTCGATCGGACCTTCGGATCAGATTGGATCTGTCATAAACAGTGTCGGATCCAATCCGATCCAGTCTGTTTGCATCCCTAGTTTTAGGGGGTAATCACTAATGACAATGCGTGATTATGTTGTTTTTGTTTTGGAAAACAAAAAAGCAAAATCATATACAATGGAGAACACCAACTCGGGCAGTTTTGTTTTTTGAAGCACAAAACAACTACAACATGGACAAAAGGGATGTTTAGTTTCAAATACAAATCAAAACCACCACATGGCCTTGATTTTATGGTTTAACGATCCAATATCATTATCGTCATCATCTAAGCCTTGTCATAACTATATGGAGTTAGCTACATGAATCCTGTTTTTTCTATTCTTCTCTTTTTAGTGTTACAACCATTATTAAATTATAAGCCCTTAAATCATTTCTTACTATCTCAACCCATGTCCTTTTTTATCTGCCCTAAGTGCTTCTAGCCCCTTTGATTTGCAAATGATTATTTATAGGTGCTATAGATGGTATTTTATTATCTATAAAAGCTAATCCTAAGTTCCTTTGAATGATTTTATTTTTTGATCCTATTCTTTCCATAGTTTTTTTACTCATCCATGCCAACAACTGCATCTTTGCCACACTCATCTTTTTTGGGACATGTAGAGTATTCTCTAACATGAATTTTTATTTTTCCTTTTTTCTGTTGCTGCAATTTTCTCAAACAAAGCAAAATCAGATGGTTTGAAAGTAAATTACTTCTTAAAACAAAGAAAAACAAAACAAAAACACACACACACAAAACAAGGTTCTTTGTTGTGTATGACTTTTGAGTTTTTTGTTTCGAAAACTGACAAAAAATCTCATTTTGAACTTTTGGTTTAAACTGAAAAAAGAAAATGTCGTCTTTAAACTTTCATATGCTTATTTAACATATCTCAACTCAACTTAACATATCTCAATTTCATCTCTTTATATGTCCTATATCAAAGCTAAATGTGCCAAAGATTACCCGTTTGGGATAGTTTTCATGTAGGCTTCTGGTTTGCCAAGGTGGATTCCACATGAAAAGCCTAAAAGTTATATTTAGTGAATCAAAGATGAAACCCTCCCAAATGGGCTCAGTCTTTCCACTTGTTATACCTTTGTTAAGTGAGTTCAATTATGATGCCAAAAAGGAAAGATATGATACATGAAAAATTTATAATCAATTAATCGGTATCATAACTCGTTATGGGTCTTCATGAAAATTCATGGGGCTTTGATTGGTCGATCTTTCCGGCATAATAATTTTTCTTTGTTAATAACAGTCCACCTTGATGAGCAAAAATGCTTTGATCATTGAATATGACTTTACAATTTCTTCCTCTTCTTCTTCTTCTTCTTCTTCTTCTTATTATTATTATATACCCTAAAGGATTCCACTTTTCATATATCAGAAATCAATTTCACCTATATCTCGATGTTATAGTGAGAAATTGCAAATATTTTAAGACTTCGTTTTCTTTTTGGTAAGTTATCCATGCTCTTTTATTTCCCAGGTAAATAAGGTAATGACCATTTTAACCATAATAATCTATAATTAAAACGGGCATTTTTGTCCCATTCAAATGTTAGCAACTTTGCCCCAAGGTGGAAAAGTTATTTAACCACGTATTAAATGGGCATCACTTACCCCAACAAAAATAAAATTTCCATAATCCCCACATAAATATGAAAAAGTAACATGGGCTTCTTGGTCATTGAAAACCAAAATCCTATTGGCCAAAACTTACTCTCAAAATCCAAAAAAGGAACTCCCCTAGAGTATAAGTATAATTTTCCTCCCATTAAATTATCCCATTTGAAACCTGACCTACAAATCATTTCAATGCTTAGGGGTGCAAATGGATCGGATCATGATCCTGATCCGAAGTCTGGTCCTGTTTTTTTGGATTCGGATACCCAGTTTTTCGGATATTTGGATCAGATTGGATAAGATGATCCCTATTCTATATATATTGCATTTTTGCAATTTTTATAAAAAACATGTATATATATGATAAAAATAATTGAAATAATCTATTGTTTTATAAGTGAAATCGGATCCGATCATATTCAGATACCTAACATCTTGATCGGATTTGAATTCAAATTCAAATAAGTATTTTATGAGATCCGATTGGATCTCGGATCAAATCAGATAATACCCTTAACCAAACCCAATCCTTTTTGTTTGCATCCCTATCAATGCTCTTTGGTCACTTTTGACCCTATGTGTGGCTATAGTGTCTTGTCTATAGGGTGCATGTAGCGGATGTGGGCTCGAAACTAGTGGAGAATGGGTCGGGCTCATTAGAAAGTGAAGCTTGAGCCCGATCATGATTGTAACGAGACATGTTCATGGGCTGGGTTTCAGGCCCGACTGTGACTTTCATTGTTTTGGGCAAGGTTCAATGTATCGACTGATACGTATCGTTCCAGGACCCCTTCGATATGCCCTTATAATGGCTGTATCGGGGGTATGACCGGTTTAAGGTGTGGAGGAGGCCTAAACCGGCTTCCCTGAACTAGTTGCAAAAAAAAATAAAAAAAAAGTATCAAAAGCTGTATTGATTTGTCCAATATGCCCATATTAGTGTATTGATATTTTGAACCTTAGTTTTGGGTTCATTATTCAAGCCGAGCCCATTCAAAATTTGGCCAAGCCTGAGCCTGACCCATGAATAAGTCTTTAAAATCGAATTGAGATATTCTGCCAACAAAACATCTTTTTAACCCTCTACCAACTTTATCTAACACCGCACATCTCACCATGAAACTAATACCCACCATAAAAGTAGGACCCCCACTATATATGAGATGTGCGGTGTGAGATTACGTTGGCAGAGGGTTGGAAGGTATTTTATTGGCAGGTGATCCGGACTTAATTGAATCACAAGTCACAACCACTCTAAACTAGTTGTGTTAAAGCATAATGCGTAGTCGGGCTGTAGCATATTCTATATGTGCGGCTGTACCCGTCTTGTTAATAGCATGTTGATAGCGTCGTGGTAAACATATCCGGTCGCAAAACGGGAATCAGTCCCAATCAATAATAAAGTATGAAACGCTACGCAACGCTACAGCCGCTCATCTCTGGGACGATCAATTCTTTCTCCACGTGTCCCTTGCAGACTTCAAATTTGTCGGTTCCCATGTGTAGACTGTGAAAAGCTCGTCCGCCCGCCGAAGGCTAGTCAATAATGTAAAGCCACGTGGGGGAACCCAATTGATGGTCAAGTCTTGTCTCAGACCTAGACAAAGCTTTCGTTGTAGCTGACGTGATGCTCACTTCCTGTTACTGCTCACCGCAATCTCTATCCCACTTCTGCATCTGGTCTTTCGCCTTCTCTACTCCCTTCGTTCTGTTTATTTTAATTTTCTCGAATTACAGACTATTCGGTTGACGTAACCAAGAATAATTTACCTTTTATGCTCTGCATTATTGAACACATCATGGAATGAATCTCCACTCACAGTCCTTTCCTCATCTCGGTTCATCTTCTTTCAATAGTAAACATCAAAGAAATCGAAAAATCTCAGTGATTAACTTCCACCGCTCTGCAGGTAGTAGCTTTTCGAACTTTGAGGCCTCGAATTAGGATTAGGATTTCTGTTTTCACTTTTGATTCTACTTCTCGTTGTTAAGAAGCCAATTCTTGCTCTTTATCAATCGATTGCACTATTTGTTTCCAATTACAGGAGTGGCTTTACTGATAGGACTAAGGAGTGTTCAAGGCTTGTTCTTTTCATTCTTGTTGGGCTATGTTGAGTTTTTCGGCTGCGCCTTCTGTTTGTGGAACTTTTCCGAGGCTTAGGGTTTGTTCCACTTCGTTGTCTTCTACTACTTCGAAGGTTTCTCCGATTTCTTATTCTTTTTCTAGATATAGAGGGTTGGGTGTTCGGCGGTGTACTTGTACGTTTTATTCGTCGTCGAAGGTCAGATCCATGGCGGAATTGGTGGAAGATAAAGAGCCGATGGGTAAGAGGGGTTTGCCTGGAAATGCGGCAGTTCTTGCCTCAGATTCAGGGGCAGAGAAGGAAGTCAGCCATTCACGGACATTTCTTGATGTTCGGAGCGAAGAAGGTTGGTATTCTGAATTCGTTTTGTTAAGAATGATTGTCAGATGGTTTTTGTTTTCTCTGCTGTTCTTTTCGTCAGCATTTTAATTTTTAACAGGAAAGAGACATAACTCCAAGATGGTGTTCGGTTGTGGTGTAGTTGAAAATACTAGGCCCCATTGGTGAAAACTAGTGTTTTGAACCATGCAACTCAGTTGAGAGTATTCTGTCATTAGCTGGTTGTGTTTTGAACCATATAACCTAAATGAATGTGTTTCCTATGTGGCTTTATGGTTAAAATCATGTGAACAATGATAATGTTTCACAGTTATATCCGGTGACATCCTACTCTCATCAGCAGAATATGGAACATCACGCTTGCTTCAGCCAAGGAGAAAAAAAGGCTTTGTGGTTGAAAACATGAAATTTTGGTGTATTAAAAAATTGATGGCATTTTGTGTTTAGGAACCATGATTTGGTTGTTCTAGAACCACTAAACTTGCCAAGCAAGCACCCTAACCGGGTTTTGGGTTTCAGAATTAATTGAAGAATGAACACGACACTGTACTGAACACTCCTTAAAACTTAGGTTAGAAACTGTCAATTTTTACATGTTTGCAATTCTTCCGTTAATCCTTTTGCTACTGCATTGATTTTCCTAACCTGTGTTTTGTTTCTAATGGTTATCCTTATCCAATGGTTTTGTTTTCTATGGTTTCTCTTCCTGGTTTATTGCTTGATGAACCTTGAGTTACAGATGACAAGTGGGAACTTCAAAGAAATAGAAGGAATCCCTTGTGTGGATGGAAATACAAAGAATAATGATTGAATTTTATATCTCTTCCTTGACAGCTCTAGAGAGGAGTTTACAAAAAACATCAGCTACTAGAGTAAAAAGGAAAAGGTAAGAGAGGATAACCTTTGAAGTATAACTCTTTCACCATTCCATTAATGTGGATGGAAAAATGACAAGATCATATACAACCAAACACCCAATTGCACCATCTCTCCCCAAATCCATGATTTTCGTCACCTCTAATAGGAAAGTCCAATCCACTATGTCATAAGCTTTCTCCATGTCCAATTTGCAAACAAAGTCTTCCTTTCTAGATCTCTTCATTTCCTCTAAACATTCATTGGCTATTAGGATTCCAATTTTATCGGATGTCTCCGAAGAGACTTTATTGGCTATTAGGAGTTGATCAATTATTTTTCTCCCTTGACTAAAAGCCCCTTGGAATTAGCTGCTGATGGAGGGAAGTACCACTTTAATCCTAAAAAAAAAGGACTCTAGCAATTATTTTGTAGACATTGGTCACCAAATTTATGGGTTGAAAGTCTTTAGGTTGGCTTGCATTGGGTTTTTTTTGGGATCAAGGCTATAAAGGTTGCATTGACTTTAGGGCTGATGATATATTTATTTGAAAATTCCTTAAATACTTCACATAACTCATCTTTCAACACTTCCCAACAATCCTAATAGAAAGCTATTCTCCGAACAATCCTGATAGAAAGCCATTGTAAATCCATGTGGTTCCAAGACTTTAGATCTACCCATAAAAAAGACTGCCTTTTTATTTCCCCTTCCACAAAATCCCTTTCTAACCCTCTTGTTGTCTCATCTTCTAATGATGGCTTGCCACTCTAATCCTTACTTGTGTTTATTTGGGTTGGCAAGTTGTTAATGGCTTTGATGGCGTTTGATACTAACATGTTTCAATCTGAAGTGTTTTGTTGCTCATGTGCTGTTTCATGTACTTTTAGTGACTTAGGGGTAATAATACTATTATTAAAATAATAATTCAATGGTTCAAAATTTTCATTGAAATTAACCTATTGCTTTAAAGATAGTCTAATTAGGTTGGTGTCTCCCACTTGTCCTTGGGTTCTCTCACGATTTATAGAGAAATGGGGAGGAGAGGGCAACAAACAAGTGTTAATAAACACAATGGCACATTGAGTACACATGAATGGTGGGGTGTGCTAGCAAGAGAAACACTACATGTAATGGATCTCTTTTTGAGATGTTGCAAGATAGGACTGTGATCGTCAATTGAATAATACTCTCAAAGATGGGATGCCACCTACTTCTTGGAAACAGAACCTAAAGGAAAGGTGGAGAGGAGAGTGTTCCTTTAATGTTGCATAATGGTCGGTCTGAAGGGGAGGTTGGTGATGCAATGCAGGTAGAAAATGAGACTTGGAGACCATGATGACATTTGGCTGATTTAAAGGTGAAGAAGCTCATTCATGGTCTGTTCCTTTTAATCATCCCCTTAGCATAAGTAGCTAGGAAATTAAAGGTGGAGAAGCTCATTCATGTTTACACTAGTTAAACCTCCATTGACCTAGAACAAAGAGATGAAGATAGGGGAGTGATGTAGATCAGGTTTTTTTGGCTACCATTGTTGCTATTACTAAGTTTCACAAATATAGATGGATACAGTATCATATATGAAATTTACAGTAAAATTGAAGTATTCAACATGATACAAATTTACACAACATCAGGCCCAGGCCCTTGGGCCAAGCCGATTCAAATTTTGACAAATGCTTAACTTGAGCTCACCCAAGTAGCAATTCCTAGTATTAGTACCTGCCTAATGGGCATGATCATCACTTCGTCAGCTTGAAATTCTTTTCAAACATGAAGTTAACTCGTAGATTTTGTTTGATATGAAGATTTGGAATTCTGATGTCTCCTAGTGATATCTTTGCTCTTTGGCTGATTCTCCATGGGAGTAAAAAGCAAAAATTTTTTGGAGTTGTGCACCTTTTGCAGTTTTTCGGGAGATATGGAAAGAAAGAAATAGAAGGACCTATGAAGGAAAGTCAAGAAGCAAGGAGAAGCTATGCTGCTGGATTGGATTTTGATATTACCAGAATTCAAAAAAGTGTCTAATGAGCCTGATCTTTGGGTGTTGCCTTAACATCTGGATAGGATGTAACTTTTTTCTTTTCTAATGAAATTTTATTTTTACTATAAAAAATTGTCTAATGAGTCCTTTGAGGCAGGTTTTGGTCTAATTTAGAAATGGAAGATGTTGGGGGTGGCTGATAAGGTCTTTGTATTTTGTCGTTTCTTTTGTTTCTTTCCTTTTTGTTGGTGATTCCTCATCACTTTGTTTGATGTATTCTCTTTTTATTTGAAAAAAAATCTTTTTTGTTTACTACCAAAAATATAAGGTCTTGTTTGTACAATGGATCATTTGGTTAATCTATTAGAATAGTATCATTATTCTAATTATGGTTATTGTTGTTTCTATTATTATTGGTAGTATTATTCTCATTATTGTTTTCTTATGAATAAAGTTAAAATTTCATTGATATCATAAATAGTAAGTAGCTGTTACAAGCTTCCCAAGGAGAGGTGTGAGGTGCAGCCTCACACTTAGGCTATGTTTGGTTTGAAGGAAAAAGTAGGGAAAGGAAAGGAAAGGAAGAAAAACCTTTATAAATCTTGTATAGGTTTTCCTGCATTTCTCTTCCTTTCCCTACTTTTTCCTTCAAACCAAACATAGCCTTAAAGAAAAACAGCAAGAGATTTACAACTGTGCCCAAAACAACTGATCAATCATTACTCCTTGCTTGGCTAAAGAATCGGCGAAAGTGCCAAACAATTAGCTTCCCTCCCTACCCATTGTATAACCAGATTCATATGTTGTGTTAGCCATTTGAATTTCTTCATTTCATCTCTATAGCACCATATCGCTGAATCCGGATTCTTTAACCAGCCCACCACCTCCTTGGAGTCCCCTTCTATCACCAGGTTCTCCACGTTCATCTCTTTTGCTATCTGGACACCTTGTAATACTGTGTACAACTCATCTTTCAACGAGTCTCCATTCCTCACTGGTCCTGAATATAGTGCTATTAGATTCCCTTCCTTATCTCTTAAGGCCCCTCCAATTCCAGAAGGACCTGGGTTGCCTTGACTACTTCCGTCAAAATTTAGTTTCAAAAACTCTTCAAATGGAGGTACCCAAGCCTGCCTTGTTTTAACTTCTGCACTGAACTTGAAATTATTGCTATTATTATTATAATTAGTAGTATTAGTATTCCTCCACCACTTGTTATTGTTGCTATCACCATTTGGAGCTGATGTGGTCCTGGGGGCAGGGGGGGGGATGATTAGAAGACAAAAGCAAGGCAAAGAAAAAGTATTTTGGTCATTAGGGTATACTTTTCTGCCTATTATTTTGTAATAAATGGTTAATTTCATATGTGCTCTGGCTTGTGCATCCCTTGTATGCCACGTGTTTGTGACAATTCCTGGCTTCTAATCGAATGCACAGCAGATCTGAACTTGTACAGATGGTATTATTTGCTTCAGACATCCTTCTCTAAACCTGTTCTTCTAAACATTTTGCTAGTATTCTGCATCATTACATGCATTATTTTATTTTATTTTTTATTTGGAAGTTACTCTAAAGTATTTGCTTTCTTGTCTTAAGTTTGATCTGTAATGACAGAGCTGCTATTGGGAATTAGAAAGGAGAAAGAATCTGGGAGACTTCCTTCAAATATTGCTGCTGGGATGGAGGAATTATATCAGAACTATCGAAATGCGGTAAAAATATATTTAAAGACAAGCTATAATATGTGTATGCATGTTTTCAAGCTTGTATTCTGTAACATTGAATTGTTATTCGTGTAATACCATCATGCTTGTAAGTATGCCATCACATTTTTTGAAAAAGATTTCTTCAGGAGATTGAATATGTATTTCATTTACAGATAAAGATATCTTTTTCATTCCACCTTTTGGATCTAACTAGTAAGCGTACATGTGCTTTGCACGTGGTAATTCTAGATGATAATGATAGTAATAATATAAATATGCATTTTTATTTTTTGTTTTTATATGCTTTTTGCTTTTTATTATTATTGGATGCATATTGCAAAATCCAAATCTGATTACATAAACACCTCATCTAAATATGTGATAGTCGGATCGAGTTATGAAGTTTCAAGTATCATTGATAGGTCTACCTGTTTGGTTAGATTATTCTTTTTATAATATTTTATCTTTTTGGTGTTTTTTTGTTCATTTATCAAAAAATGTAAGATTTAATAGAGGGAATTGAATGAGGTGAAAAGTAGTAGTTTAATTTACAATTTAAACCTCACAATTGAATAGAGACTAAATTCAAAAATTAGTATTTTAGTCAAACGAAAGTTCCACAATCTTACTTATATTTTTAATAGTAATGTAAATATAGAATTATAGATGTGCTCAGTTTTTTTCTATATTTTCTTTATATTTCTGTGTAAAAATAATTCTGATATGTCAAACTTCTTAGCAATGTTTTAAAACATGGAAGTGTGATACGAGACATTTCACTGTCTGGAGGTGTGAGGTGTAGTTCAGAATGTAAGAGGCGTAAGCATCCCAAGCTCAAGGAGGCACCTTAGGAGGAGGGAGATGAGGAGGAGGAAGCAGAAGAAGGAGGAGGATTCCTTCCCTTCCCTTTCTTTTTCTTTTTATTATTTATCTTTTTTCTCCTACTCTTTCTTCTCTTTCTTTCTTGCCCTTTCCTTTCCTTTTTCTTTCTTTCTTTTTTTTTCTGGCTTTTTTTGTATGAGGCATACACCTCTAGCATGCCTTATGGACCTGAGACGTACACCTCAGAGGCATCGGCACCTCTGGCATACACCTTAGGGAATTTTGGGGGCACCTTGCCTAGGCTTATGCCTCTCAGACCTTTTAAAACACTGCTTCTTAGTAGAAAGGTGATGGTCAACTATGGAGCTTTTGGTAATCTTGGTGGTTCCTGACTGCCTGGCTAATCTACCCAGTTAAACTTCCCAATCACGACAGAATGTGCTATTAGTGTTGGTTATTATTAAACTTCTTTTGCGAGAAATAAGGAATTATGCTAATGCATGGTAGTGTTCTCTCATTTAATGACTGTTTATGCCATGTTTCTTCATGCTCTATATTTGGGTAATTTCTCTTTCTACCATAAATGATGATGATTGGCATTAAACATAAAGGAATGTTAAAACAGGATTCATGTAGCCAACCTCATATCTGGGATAAGGCTTAGATATTGATGTTGATGTTTCAACTTTCAGGTTCTTAAAAGTGGAGATCCCAGGGCAGATGAAATAATAATATCGAACATGGGTGTTGCATTTGATCGCATATTGTTGGACATAGAGGTAAATATTACTTTGTGCATTTATTTTCTGTCAATTTTTTTGGGTATCAATTTTAATGTGGATCTTTAAATGAAAATTTTATTTATATGCCTTTTATATGAAATTGCCATGTATTTTCAGGATCCTTTTATCTTCTCACCACACCACAGAGCAATACGAGAACCTTTTGACTATTTCATGTTTGGCCAAAATTATATCAGGCCATTGATTGATTTCAGGTGGGAATGACTTTCTTGTGTTGATTTCTTTATTTCTTTTGTTAGTAAAGGTTTGATAATTAGCTTACTGGATTGTAAATTGTCAAAGTCAGTGTGATCTTTGATTTTTGTGACTATAAATTTGTATACAATATTGTTGTGATGTCTATATATGTGCATATGCTTATACCTATACATTAATGTTTTGAAAGGCGTGGGAGACGTATATCTGGAGGTGGACCTCCAGGTGAAGTGCCCTCAAACTGGCCTGAAGCACATGTTGTAGGCGTTGATGCCTCTTAGGTGTACACCTCAAATGCCTCTTGCATGAGGTTTACTAGAGGCATATGCCTCATGTGCCTCATGCATGTCTCCTTCAGAAAGAAAAATAAGAAAAAGAAAGGAAAGGAAAGAAAATGAAAAGGAAAGGGAAGTCTCACTTGCTTCACTTTCTTGCCTCTGCTTTGATAGGACCCCCCCTTTCAGATAGCATTATGCATTCTCATTCTTCTTTATAGGAGGCTCTTTCATAAAAAAAAGAAACAGGAAAAAAATAAGAACTCCTCCTTCCTCTGCCTCCTGTGCCACCACTGCAGTTTTGTTTTGAGCTAGACAAGACTTCCTCTAACGTTCCATTATGATGCAACTCCAAGAAATCCCAACATCTCTTTGGTTGGGTCAAACAGAGCACAAATGGGATGGCGGATACCCTAAACAGACAAGGGGCAAATAGATCTACATTGTACTGGGGAGAACTGTAACTGATTGTTTGTGGGTGCAGATTAGATTAATGCTTTTCTGCTATCTATAACTTTTGTAACTGATTGTAACTTTTGCTACTTTATTAATAAAAATTGTCTTGCTGATAAAAAAAAAGAAGAAATCCCAACATCTCTTGTAGAAAATTATTGCAAAACCATCTGGACAGGGTGCCTTGTCCCCCTCCAACTTCTCAATAGCTTGGAAAAATTTCCTCTGTGAAGGGTTTTCTAGGTCCCCTGCATCCTCCGAAGATAAATCAGCAAAGACCAATCCATTTTTCTTTGAAGAACTTAGCATAGAACTTAGTGATCTCCCTCATTCCCTAACATAGCATAGAACTTAGTGATCCACCTCGAGCATGAAAATTTCCCTTCTTCTCCCACTAGCCTTCAGCCTTCTATACTGGTCCATCCCTAACATAGGTCCATGCTCCTCAGCCCTATCAACTTTACTAATAATCTCTAAACAGTCCTTCTTAGTCAACTCAAACCCCCTTTTAACCTTCTTCCTCCAAGTTTTCAGTTTCTCTTTTAGAAAATAAAGCTTCTCCCCAAAAGTATGGTTGGCTGACCCTACTGTTCTGTGATCCACCCACCAATTTTGAACATTATACCGTTTAGTAAATTTATTGTCACGAAAAGAGTTTCCATGTTTTCTAGGTTTTATTATATCCTATGCCATACTATTCTATAATTAATTTCTTCTTCTGAATCTTGTTTGCTTTGTCTTATAGGAGATCATATGTTGGCAACATCTCCATCTTCCACGATGTGGAAGAAAAGCTTCTGCAGGTGATTAACGTAGTCAATAATCTTTTTGTTCTTTGGTGGTTTATGTGCTATTATTTGGTTCTGAAATAGCGTACTTGTGTTGGAAATGAGTGCTTGAAGCATGAATCATAAGCTGAAGCAGCTTAAAAGTGAGGAGGTTTATGTTTATTGTGGTTTGGTGGTATTCCAATTGCTTTAACTGGTGCTGGAGTTTCTGAGCAGAAAAAAAAGTGGTGCTGGAGTCTCCTTAAGACTATGGACTATGGCTTTGGTGGATGAATTGCTGTCAGTGGCTCAGTCAGGCAATGGATATGACACTGAACAGAGTGGAATGGCAGAAGAGGATTCATGTAGCCAATCCCATATAGTTGGGACTTGGGACAAGGCTTAGTTGAGTTATGTTGGTGGTCAACAACCACTACAAAAATTATGATACTTTGGAAGATTTTGAACATATTGTTGTCACTTTGTGAATTTGTTTTCCTCAATGTTTGCTGAACACTTCAAGTCATTTAATGGTTTTAGAGTTAAAGCCTCTTGAAAAAATTAACCTTGAATGAACATTTTGATCAATTAGCATTTTAGTTCCATATGTAATTCTCATTGGCGTTCTCTCATCCTCTGATGAGGAATGCCTTTCTGGTATGGAAAGTGTTCTTTTTGTTTGGAAGTTCTATTATTTTGATTTTTTAAAATTATTTGACATCTTTTCTGTCTGCTTATTCATTCTTTTTCTGCATATGGTTACTGGCTATTTTCATGGCTGTATACGATAATCCTCCATGATGAAATGTAGGGCCACAATGTTGTCTTGATCTCTAATCATCAGACAGAGGCGGACCCAGCTGTTATTGCATTATTGCTTGAAAAGACAAATCCACATATTGCTGAGAACTTGGTATACTTAATCTTTCTATACTGTGTTACTGCACAAACTTATTGATGTCTGGTTCATATTAGCTTGCATGTCCAAGTTCTTTTCCTTTTTCTTCAACAGACCTATGTTGCTGGCGATAGAGTTGTAACGGATCCTCTCTGCAAGCCCTTTAGCATGGGAAGGTGCTCATGAATTTTTCTCATGTGCATGATAATGCACCACTTAATTTATACAATTTATACATTGTTTCTCCTTGGTTTTGTTTTAGGAATCTCTTTTGTGTGTATTCGAAAAAGCACATGTATGATGTTCCTGAGTTGGCTGAGATGAAAAGGCGAGCAAATACCCAGAGTCTGAAGGAGATGGCTTTGCTTCTTAGGTATAATTATTACTTTGGATTGATCATGTCTTCACTCCAGTCTTAAATCAGCCCTAACCCACTTTGTATCTCCTATAAGCTGTAAAAAATTCTTAATTTTGATTTAAACTATGCTTCCAAAAAATAGCTTATTTTGGCTGAAAATTGCCTCATAAATGTGGGCACTGAAAGGAATTCATGGGGCACATTTGGTCCCTAACCATGTTGTTTTGTTTATTCCAAGTGCATTTATTCTTTCCCATTAAATAACCTGACTGTTAGACCTGTCTCCATGTGTGTGTATGTGTCTTGCTAGCACAAATATTTCAAGATAATAATTTCCTTCTAGAACCATATGCAGTCCGTCTTTTGGCCATAACTTGCTTAATCCATGTCTAACTTGCATGATTTTGAGTTTGTTAGCATGAAACAACCTTCCAATGACACCGATGATTTGCAATTTCAATATTGGTGGACATTTCACCATGTAGAGATGGGGAAATTTCAGGGATATTTCCCTAATTTTGCTAAGATATTTGGAAAATATAAAAAATAGGGAAATTTTCTAAAAAACATGATTGGTGAATAAACCTTCAAGAATAATTAGAAGTGGTATAATTGCACATTTAAGGCTCAAAAATCCAAAGCAAACAATTCTATAAGTCAAATAAGATTAAGAGACTTAAATAGGCAGCTTACACTTTTATCTCCTTGTTAGTCTTTTAGCTATCTTCTTTTCTTTATATATGTAAGTTGCCATTTTGACTTTTATCTTTTTTTGTTATTAATATGTTTTTGATTATATTGTTGTGTGCCTTTTTTCTTTTTAACTATAGTGACTTAGTAAGTGAATCATATTAGAATAATAAGTCAATCATCCAATCACCAAATCCCCCTTTGTTCTTTTAGGAAGAGTATTTTTAAAAATTTATGATGACACATCGGTAATACATCAGAGATGTATTGCTGACATATCAACAATACCTTTAGTTTTATGCTGTCTATCATTTCCTCCAAAGATCTACTTTTTTCATAGAAAATCCTACTATTTCTTTCTTCCCATAGAATCCAACAGATTACTGCTTTGGTGGCTTTCTAGAGCACTTTCCCTCTTTTCTTTGATCGTCTCAAGAAGTTGGAATTGGAAATGCCCACCACTTCCTGAGGGGGAATCCATCTGCAACCAAAAAGAGAGTAGAAAAACACCCAGATTCTATGCACAACAGGACAGGAGATTAATTAATGGCCCAAAAGATGCATATTTATCCATCTTAAAAATACTGATTGGCATAAAAAAGCAATAATGGAGTAGTAAAGGGAATTAGAGAGGAGAGCCAATACGAAAAAAATTAGACAGAGAAGTGAAGCACCAGGATCACTCTGGAGTTCATCTAAGAATCACTCATCAGTCAATGGATGCATAGCTCTTATATTCATTTGCTAGCTTCAAAAGGTTCTTTTTTTATTTAAATAGATGTTAACTTCAAAAAGAATTGAAAATAATAATTTAGGTGTCAAGTGTTGGGTGGAGGAACATTGTCTTCTGTTTTTAGGGTAACTTATGCAATAATGATTCTTCATTTGTTAATAACATAATGGAGCCTGTTACTGTTTTTTTCCTTCTCTCCCATCTTTATTTTCTGGTTTTCTGATTGACATAATTGAATCTAGGGGTGGATCACGGATAATATGGATTGCACCTAGTGGTGGTCGTGATCGCCCAGATCCAGTCAGTAAAGAATGGTACCCGGTAAGTTTGCACTTGAAATTGCATTGACTTTGTTCTTTTTAAATATAAACATCTTGGGGGGCTTCAAATTTCAGTATGATGGTGCTAATTTTTCAATTTTGTTCATAGATGTTATGATTTTTAATTGTTTTCCTTTTGGTTTCTAACATCATTGTGATCAGGGTAGTATCCTTTGAATGTATATGTGCTTTAATTATTTAGAAGCCTCGCACTTCTTCTCATGATGAGTAAATCCAACTTTGGGTAGATATGGGGGTTCCAGAGATCCTGGCGTGTTGGTTGACAGAGTTGGATTGCTCTGTAACAATAGAGAGCGTCTGTGCTGGTAAATGTTTGTCTAAGATTGTCAGTACTTTGTTAGGTAAGCAAGGGGAGGAACATCCCCATGATAATGGAAGATTCACCTAGTCATTAGAAGGCCGAATTCTTTTTTTTTTTTTTGTCTTTGTTTTTTTTTTAAAGTGAACTTGAACTTTTATTAGGTAATAAAAAGTGAATTAATTAGATATTTTTCATAGCATGCCAAGCAAATGAGGCTGGAAAATCCGCTTCTCCCTTGTCTTCCATTATAGTTCTCTATTACAAACCTGCAATACAACTGTTTCCTATCACCCCCTGTCTGGCCATGGCATTGGCCAGGACATTTGTTGATCAGTAAGTCCACTGAAAGCTTGTTTCCAATTAAGTTACTAAGGTTCTTAATTCTTTCATGTAGTTCCACTATTTTAATGATCCTTGTTTATTTGTATCACAGCAAGCTTACCACCACCACCTTTTGGATCTTCTTCAACAATAATTTTCTTTACAACTTGTCCAAAAAAAAAACAATAATTCTCTTTGTTTTTTATTAATTTTTTTTCTTTTGAAGGGCTACACGACAGGGGGTAGCCCATCCCCCAACCCAGGTGCAGGCGGGATTCGACCTGAAGTCTCCACTACAACCAGCAGTAGACCTTACCAACCAGCTGTTTGGCACCTTGCAATAATTCTTTGTATAACTGCTAAGAACTCTGCCCTCGTGGAGTTCCCATTTCCTGTAGGGCCTTGTTGTTAGAATGATTTGAGAGTTATTTGTGCTGTTAGTTCTAGGGTTCTGTCAGCTTGTTTGTTGCTTTTTCTTATTTTTGTATTAGGGTGTGCCTCCAGGGGCAAGTATGTAATTTTGATCTTTTATTTTTAATCTCATTGTTATAAATAGAGAGCTGGGCACCGCCAGCCTGAGTTATGGCTCCCAAACAGCCTTTCTTCTCTTCTCTTTCTCTTCTCCTTCTTCTTCTCTTCTTTCTAGAAGAAAACATGGTATCAGAGCATATTCCTGGGCAATAGGAGGATTTTTTTTCTCAGAATTACATCTCTTCTCATCAGATTTTTGATTTCTTGAACTGTGAAGTAAAAGAACCCAATCAGACTGGTCAGAATAGTCTGGTTGTGTTTTCTCTGGGTTCTTCCTTGGTTGTAACACCAAGGAAACCCTAGGTTTTTTTTGATCAGTACAACATCAAATTTTATTACTGTAAAGAACACTGATGTGGACCCCACTGATGTGGTCTCCACATGTTCATATGGCAGCAATATTTTTGTTAGATATGACAGTGTTAGTTGGTAGTTATTTCAGCTTTATTATTAGTTATTTCTTATTCTATTTGCCATGTAAGCAATAAGGGCAATTCAGCCCTTTTACAGTTAGCCAATAGTTATAAATACTAAGAGAGGGTCGGCAGAAATTATGACCTACTCTCTCTCTTTCCTGAAACTCTCTTCGTGTACTTTTCTTCCTCTCTTCTCTTCTTCTTCTCTTCAATTTTTCATCCTGTTTTTTTCTTTTTAATTCAAGACTGATTGTAGTCTAGATCGACTACTTGGTATCAAAGCCGACCTAGGAACTCTTATGCTAGTCTGATTAGGCCGACTGCATGAGAACCGCCTAGGTTTGGAAGTTTTTCAACAAGGAAGGAGGATTGGCTGATTCTTGGAGGTTACTAGTAGTGTGCAACTGCTACTAAAGAGATTGTAGAAGTCTGGGAGAGTTCCAGTAGTCAGGAAGAATCAGAAGATGCTTCGGATCCTCAAAATTAGGGTTTTGCATCAACCAGAAGGTGGCGGCCATAGATTTTTTCATCAAGTAAGCTTTTTCTTGTGTTTCTATTCAGAAAAGATAATCTTAGTTTAGTCTGAGAGGTGCGGCTTCAGAATCTGTGTTTTCTTTAGGGTTTTGAGAGAAAACCCTAAAATTCAAAACTGTTATTTGTTTTAGATCAGAATTTGGACTGGTTTCATTCAGAATTCTGTTTTCTGTGTTCTTTGGAAGAACTAGGCCGGCTGTTATAAGTTATTTGGGTGTTGTTTCTCCTATTACAGTAATTAAAAAAGTTTTTTTTTTTATTATGTCTTGATCAAGAATGGAGTTCAAGAGTCAAGGAGAAGGTGTTTTTGGGACTAGCAATTTTGGTAACATGTCTGAGAATACCTTTCAGATTACAACCGTTAAGTTTGATGGATCAAACTACCTAGAATGGGCTCAATCGGCCATGATGGCCATTGGGGGTAGGGGAAAACTGAGCTACTTGTTGGGAGATGTGAAAGAACCAACTAAGGAGGACCAAACCTATACCAAATGGGTTCAGGAAAACTATTTGGTTATGACATGGCTGTGCAACTCTATGCAGCCACATATAAGCCGGAACTATTTGTGGGCGAAAACAACTAAGGAAATCTGGGATGTCATTAAAGAGACCTACTCCCAACCCCTTAATGTTGCTAGGGCTTATGAACTGAAATGTGAGGTTAACAACCTTAAGTAAGGAGAGAAACCAGTCTTGGTTTACTTCTCTTCACTGAAATCTTTGTGGCATGAAATTGACCACCTAGAAACACTTGAATGGAAAAGCCAGAAAGATGCACAGACTCATAGAAAGCAGGTTGAGACTAATAGGGTTTTTGAGTTCTTAGCTGGTCTGAATCCCGAGTATGATATTGTGAGACAACAGCTACTGACAAGAGTCAGTGTGACCCTATCACAAGCCTACTCCTTAGTGCACAGTGAAGAGACTAGGAGAAAGGTTATGATGCAGCATTAGCCCTTCCCACCAGCGTTGGCAGTAGTCAAACCTAAGTCCGGGGGTGATACGGAGAGGGATATAAAGAAGGAAGACAAGCGGGATCAAGTATGTGAACATTGCAAGAAACCTAAGCATACTAAAGACACTTGTTGGAAGTTGCACCCTCATTTAGTCCTAGCAAAACTCAGGAACAGAAGGGGTAATGCTAATATGGCTGTTAATACTGATTGTGCCTCCTCATCGGGCACAAAAGGCACACCCCTAGACACCCTAGCTGCTGTCTGGGCTGCCCTGATTCAGTTGGAAAAGGAAGTTGGCATACTGATGTTTGGGGTCCTTATCACATCACTGCTATGGGGGGGGGTTATAGATATTTCTTGTTGTTTGTTGATGACTATACCCGGTTTTCTTGGGTTTATTTTATGCATTCTCGAGATGAGGTTCCTACTTTGACCCGGATCTTTCATTAGATGATTTTAACCCAATTTGGGGTCAAAATCAAAATCTTCAGATCCGATAATGCGAAAGAATACTTTGCCAACCAATTAGCCTCCTATTTGCTTGACCATGGGATTATCCACCAAAGTACTTGCCCTCATACACCACAACAGAATGGGGTTGCTAAGAGGAAGAATAGGCACATATTGGAGGTGGTCAGAAGCATCATGTTTAACTCCAATGTGCCTATTCGTTTATAGGGAGATGCTATTCTTACAACAATGTATCTCATTAACTGGGTTCTTTCACGGGTTCTTGACATGAAGCCTCCATTTACCCTCCTATACCCTAATAAAGACTTGTTTACTGTTCCCCTTGAAACCTTTGGTTGTACTTGCTTTGTTCAAATTCTTGGACCTCATCGTTCCAAATTTGATCCTAAGACCTCCAAATGTATTTTTCTCGGTTATGCACAAACTCAAAAGAGATATTGCTGCTATGAACCCACTTTTGGGAAAAGATTTGTCTCTATGGATGTTACTTTCTTCGAGGATGTACCCTATTATCCTAGGGTTTCACCTCAGGGGGAGAGTAGTGAGTGTGGGGTTAACTCATCAGAAGTTTCTTTACTTGTTCCATTGAGTGATAAGGGATGTAATGGGGAGGGGTGTTAGATGTGCCGGGATTTGGGAGTCTATCATAGGCGGTGGAGGCAGGTTGATTTCGGTCATCAGCAGTCCAGGCCAGCCCTAGTTCCTTCTGCGGACCCAGATCTAGGTACTACAGTTCCTTTATCGGATCCGGGTTCCACTGAGATACCTTCCACTGTTGAGCTCTTACATCCTTTGGATGACCTTGACCTCCCCATTGCAGTCCATAAAGGCAAACGACGTTGCACCACATCCACAACTCACTACATTTCCCAATTCTTGTCCTATGATCACTTGTCCCCCTCTTACAGGTCCTTACTCACATCTATTGCTGATATTCCTATCCCTAGAACAGTGCAAGAGGCCTTGCCAGTTTCTGAGTGGAAAGATGCAATGAAGGTTGAAATGGATGCTCTTCTGAGGAATAATACTTGGGAGCTAGTTGACCAACCTAAAGGGAAGAAACCGGTTGGATGTAGATGGGTATTTACTGTGAAACGTAATGCTGATGGGTTCCATTGAAAGGTATAAGGCTCGGTTAGTTGCAAAGGGATTTAATCAGACTTATGGTATAGACTACTTGGAGACTTTTGCTCTAGTAGCAAAGATGACCACTATTAGAGTTTTATTGTCCCTTGCAGCTAGTTACTCTTGGCCCTTGTTTCAGACGGATGTCAAAAATGCCTTCCTCAATGGAGACTTGCAAGAAGAAGTCTACATGCAGTTGCCTCCTAGATTTTATGATGCAGACACAAGAAAGAAGGTTTTCCGGTTGAATAAAGCTTTGTATGGACTAAAACAGTCCCCTAGAGCTTGGTTTGATAGATTCAAACAAGCCCTTGAAAGGTTCGGC